AAAAAAAAAAAAAAACAAGTAAGAACGTTGCAGTCGGGCGTTACCGACTGCGGAATACTCATTCACATCCCATCAACAATTTAGTAGTTAAGTTTCGTTCTAATACTGTAGAATATACAGGTTTTTCCGATTTGCCACGCCCCAACTGGGCGTAGACACCTCATTTTTGGTCAGTTTTTAGAAAGAGATAACGTTACCCTAACTGCAAAGTTTGAATGCTTACCCTAAAAAAATGTGAAAATTACAGGGTATTTTTCGATATGCCACGCCCCTAAAGAGGCGTAAAAATTATTTTTGGGGAATCGATAGAGGAGGCTACCAGTAACTCAACTATCCAAATTTGAAGCTTCTAGCTATTATACTTTAGGAGATATAAACTTTTGCGGTTTGCCACGCCCCCTGTGGGCGGACATATATCCGACAAAACTTTTTGGTCTTGGGTGATCAGTCCGAGTATATATACAAAATTTGAGGTCTCTGCCATCAATAGTGTCCAAAATATAGGAGAATTTAAAAAATCACTATATCTTCAGGTCCGATTTGCCACGCCCCCAACGGGCGTAGACTTATAATTTATCTTCAGACTTTATAGAATCATACCATTAGCTGACGTGCAAAATTTCAGCATTCTAGGTTTACAACTTTAGGAGATACAGTTTTATCCGATTTGCCACGCCCCCAATGGGCGTAGATATATCCGCCATAGCTCGTGATCTTGGGTGGTCAACGCGGACCTACATACCAAGTTTCAGCTTTCTAGCTCTTCAACAAACATGATTTCTGGTATATCGGAAAATGCATTTTCCGATTTGCCACGCCCCTAGTGGGCGGATCGGGAAAATTTTAACACTTTATAAATCGGAGATATACACGAGTATGTGTTCCAAATTTCAAGTCTCTAGCTTCAATAGCGCCGAAATAGATTGCGTTCATACGGACAGACGGACAGACGGACAGACGGACGGACGGACAGACGGACAGACGGACAGACGGACGGACAGCAAGACGGACATTGCACAAAACCAATATACTGATTCACTTTCGTGAATGAGTATAAAAATCTCTTCTTTTTAATACAATTCACACACATTTATACACACGTATCTGTGCATCTGACGCATCGTAATAACATATCCCCCTGCTATTTCTCTCCTATCAATTTGTTTCATATTTGTTTATTAAAACACTTCTTTAGTTAATGAAAGCAATAAATTTCACTGGAATTTTCGTAATTAAGTGTAGTGGCTTATGGTGCTCACTGTACTAAAATTATACATCTGAAATAGCTAATGTACGTGCATATAATAAGAGGTAATATGTATGTGCTTAACGCATATATTGCTTATTGTATAATGTTTGTATATATGTACACATACAACTAAACTATAATCTCAATCAAATTCCTAGATAAATTAACTAAAATGTAGGGAAACTAAAAGGCAAAGTTCTTCTGGAAATATTGCGAATCTCATGATTTCTCAATATTAATAGAGAATAGCATAAACGCAAATGATAGAAAATTATTCCTGGAAGCAATAAATTATTTTGAGGCGTAGGGTAGCTCTAAGACTTGCTCTACACAATTGCAAATGGCTAACAATTTGCAGATTTCAAGAATTATTAAGCGCTACATTGAAAATAAATGAGTATTAATTTTACATATGAATGAGTCTTAATCAGTTTTCAAGAGAAAGAGAGTTTCAAAATGGAAAAGCACATAATTTGAAAACAATATGGAATGTGCATATTGAAAACAAATTCATTAATATAAATCGAAATTTTGCTGAGCTTTCGATATTTTTCGTGTGGCTAACTCAGACGGATTTAAGACCTCCTATACAAACTTTAACTTTTCAATTGAGTTGTCGAAAATCATGTTAGCCGCAAGAAGAAGATTCTGGCCAAGTTAGAATGGTGGTCTTACTGGAAGATACTAAATGTTTTTATGTGTGTGGTTAGTTTAGATTAATTGGGGAGCTGTTAACCCACTAGAGTCTGCATTAAAGACTGACCATAAGGTCACTACACTTTCAGAGTCTCTTAGAGATTTAACTCTATTGGAGTCTATAGCGAGAGACTCCGTATCTCAGAGTCTATATAAGAGACTCAATACCTGCTAAGAGAAAGTCTTTAAGCAAGACTACTCAAAGTCATTGACTTAGTTGAGCGTGATATGAGAATCATTTCTTTCATAAAGTCAACCTTCTTATGGACAATTCTATATAAGATTCACTGTTTGTTTCTTCAATGTAAAATTAATTTATTATTATAACACCTTCGATTGCACACACATGAACAATCATGTCTGGCAATTTTTTCGGTCGAGCGAACTCCAAATTTTAAAGCCATGTTATTTTAACACCTTCAATATTGCAAACATAAACAATCAAATTTTTGTAATGAATCTCAATAAGCCGATAATTTGTTTGTTTTTTTTGTGGAGTCTCACCTGTGTCAGCGTGATGTAGCATCGATCCGTTAGAGGCGTTATCACCAGCCGCGAGGTGTTGCCCAAGTATTCATAGGCATAGCGGAACTCGGCATCGCAGATGTTGGCAAAGCAGTCCTCGTCGGCGCCGCTGGTGCTGACTGTGGTTGCCGAGGTGGCGCAGCCGCTGGAGCTGCCCGACAGATCGTCGTCCCAGCGATGCCGGAGCTGGCTCTGCCACTGGAAGGCCAACGAGTTGTCCACTCGCGTGGCAATGATCTTGGCAATGACATCGCGCGAGTGCACGTCGATGGTGCAGATGGTCATAATCTTCTGTCGGTCGCCGGCAGAGAGTTCGCCCAATAGTAAATTGATTAGGGCATTCAGCTGGGCTATCTGCCGCTTGTGCAGCTCCTTCATGGCGCCCTCGTAGCCCTCCTCCATGCTGGCGAACGAGCGATTCACGTCCGCCGTCCAGTTGATCTGGCTGCAGCAGAGCGCCACCTGTGCCGGCCAATCGTAGAGCCACAAGTCGCGCGACTTCTCCCAGAACGCGCCCAGAGCGCGTCGGAAGAGCTCATGGAGCGTGCTGCGCATCTGTTGGATGACTGCGTTCAGCCAGAGCTCCACCCGGCCGCAGCAGTCAATGTACGCCGATTGCTCCCGCTGCTGGTTGCTCACGAAGGCGACATACTCGTCGTTCTCCTTGGAGTGCATGCCCACGGCGTGCGTGGTGTTCGTCTCGTACTGCAGGCGCAGTATGGAGTCGAAGAGCTTGATGAGATGACGATCGATGACCTGCGGGTTGTTGCCGTTGGAGAGTATGTCCAGCAGATCGGCGGACGATATGAAGTAGAAGCGTGGAAAGGCCAAGCGCTTCGTCTCCAAATAGTCGTTCAGCGCCTTCTCGCAAACCGACAGACGCTTCTGCAGCTCCAGCAACTGCTGCAGCACATCCTCGTGCCCCAGCACCACTTCCATCACCACCCGCACGGCTGTAACGCGTGCCAGCAGATTGGTGAAGTCCTCGTCGATGCGCTCAAAGTTGGCCGCGTCCACGGGCAGCTGGGAGCGAATGTCCGCTGAGCCAATGAAGATGCACTCCAGATAGATCCACTTCCGCTGCACCTCAAACCAGTTCACAATGAGGTTGTCAATGCCGCTCAGCACACGCTGCCAGTAGCTCAGCTTGTCCAGCAGGTACTCAATGTGCTTTGAGGTGGAAATATTTTGCAGCTGCATTTGATTATCGTCGAGCGTTTCGATCAGCTCCTCGGAGACCTTGAGCAGCTGCACCGTTGGCCGTGAGCGATGCACCTCCAATTCGAACTCCAGATGCGCCCATGTGGCCTTAATGTCGTCCAGCACCTTGGTGACCGTCATCTCTTTGATGGCACGATCCACAGTGTTCTTAATGTCCTCCTCGTGCTGATGCAGCTGCAGGCTCAGCAGCTGCGCCAGAGTTGTTGACGCATTGCACTTGTATGAAAGCTGTTGGGATTGCATTGACAATTATAATGTTCACATCTCTCTCTCTCTCTCTCTCTCTCTCACTCTATCTCTTGTCTTGAGCTGCCATGAATACAATTAGGTGGCCCGTCAATTAATATACGAACCATTGCTCGTTATTAATTTTAAGCAATTTCGCTCCTAGCTGCAAATGTGCATGATATTGACTTTCAAAATAATTCGAGCTGCCTGTTTCGTCAAGCAGCTGCTGCTAATAATTAATCCTGCTTCTGCTAATAAGCCAGAGTGCTCGACTAGCAGATGCCCTCACATATGTAGATGTATATATTGTTGTGAGGGGCTTAGCCCCAAAAGGTCTGGCAGTGTGGATATATGATATTTTATGTACTACTCATTCGCATATCAAACTCTGTTTTAGAGCAAACCCATATTCAATAGAATCATATTACACGCTTCAGTTTATCTGCTTGTCAAATTATTAAATTAATGCACTCGCCTGGCCTGCCAATCAGCTTACCAAAGCCATGAGGCGCTCAGGAGCAACACAATCACCCCTGGCAACATAGGAGTTTATGAGCTCAATAAGCTCGGATTTGTAACGTAAATGCAACAAGTTCAATTCACGAGCTTATTAATGTGGCATAATGAAACTTTATGGCATGCAGAGGGGCAATTTTCAGAAACTGTTTAATTGCATATTCCGAGAATTTATAGATTTTCACATACCAATTCATCCATATCGTGCAGTCCATTCAGCTGTAATAGACATCGAGTTGAGTTGGTTAAATGTGAGCACATTTTATAGCTAAAAATCATAATTTAAATTATCAAATATGTCCCTCTGGCTTTTTGTGCTTCAAATCTCCTGTTAATTATAAATTTTGCGAATTATAATTATTTATTTGAAAAGTGCGCCGAATAATAAAAATCGGTATTTTATTTTATTTATTTATTTTGCTGTTTTTTTCCCCCTTTTTCGTCGCAGCTAATTAAACGCAATTTAATTGAATTAAAATATTTGCGTTATATAAATATTATTTATTTGCATTGCATACAAATGTGCCAGAAGAACCAATATGAATTACATAAATATTTTGACAACATATCAAAGAATCGATTTGATTTCGAGCATGAAATATGGAATGCACAAATTGCTAAGCGTTCCGAACTAATAAATTGTACGTATGTAAATAAAAAGACAATAATTATGTAATAAACAAAGGATGAGGTACAATGAAATTATGAAAACATTAATTTAATGAAATTATAATAATACGAACATAAATTTTTAATAGGTTTTAGGAATAAATTAGATTTATTTTTAGCAATTCGAAGTTCTGTATAAAAATTAATAATAATTAAATTGGCCTGAAATGAATTGGAATTAGTAAATAAATATGATTTTGATTGCAGTGCAGCGGAGGGGATAGCCTAAGCGTATCAACGTATCAACGAGGAACGCCCTGGGTGGATTATGGCAACTGTAATCCATGCTGCAGGTAATGCGATTGCCAAATACTCACACGTGAAACTGCAGCGGGATGCAATTGGCAGGGCGCAGTGTAAAATGGTGCTTTGTGGATCAATCAGTTGGAATTGCAGCGATGCAATGATGAGACTGGGATTGCAGGTGTGGGGTGTGGGTGGTGATGGGGTGGTGCTGCAGCTGCTGCTATTGACTTTCAGCATTGCTGGCTGTGATTTCTCGCTTCGCTTACCTTTGACAACTTCATCAGCTCTAGCCAATGGCGCTCGGTAATTGCTGGATTTTGGAGCTCGGTCACCGCTCGCAGCGAGGCAACCAGTTCGCGCAACACGCCCACAATATAAACATAGGGGGCCCAGTCCCTGATGCACTTGTCAAGTGTGCGCAAATCGCGCGTGAACTTCTTGCACTCGTGCTCCACGTCGTCCGTGTCGATGTGTAGCCAAGGTGTTGCATGCCAGTCAACAATGCAGGATTCGATGACGCGCACAAAGTCCCACAATTGCTGCGGGCGGCACGAAATCTGTCAGCCACATGAAAGCGCCCAAACACAGTCCGCATCCTGCTTACCTTTACGCGCCGCAACTCCGTCCGGCAGTGCTCCAGCGTGGCCGTGTCGGGCTCGGCTATATCGAGCAGCCGGGCCCAGCGTGCGTACCGCCGCTGCTGGCTGCCAAAGCGATGGAGACGCACGTAAACCTGGTCGCAGGCATCGTAAATTTGTGGACAGGGCACACAGAAGAACTGGGAAATGTGTAAGGCAGACGCTAATACCGGAGCCAAAGCAAACTGGAGTGGGGGTAGGGGGAGCTCTGCTTACCGGCATGCGCTGGAACTGTTTGGCAAAATGTTGCACGTGGCACGTATGCAGGCCAATGAGTGCCGTTACGCGCTGCTGTTGGTAGTAGCGTGTGTCCTGGAGAGCCTCGTGTTTGGCCAGAGCTTGTTGCTTCAGCTGCTGCCACTGCATCGGCAGCTGCTCAATGTTGCGCACCAGCTGCGGCTCGAACTCCACGTTGTAGGTCTTTAAGAGCGCCACGATGTCCTTAAGCGGCTTAAACACATTGTCCGCATACGGCTCCCGCTCTCGTATCTCCGCCATGACGGACAGCACTCGGAGCAGCGCCTTAAAGTCCTGCCGTCCGATGTGCAGCTGCAGTGTCTCGTGGCTGAGCGCAATGAAACCGTTTAGCTCCTGTTGAAGCCAATTAACTTTTCGACAGCATACTTTTTCGGGCCATTACTCCAGCTAGCTCACCTGCAGCGTCTTCTGTACGTAGCGCAGCAGCCATTGCTTGTGCAGGTGCGACCACTTGCAGGCCAGGTTGAGCAGGCCGTGCTTGAGCGGCCTCACATCGAGGGCCAGCCAGCCGTTCAGGCAGTGCCCATCCTCGCATTGGTCAATCGCATCGTGCAGCTCGTTGTAGCGCTCGATCTGCAGATGAGATTCAGCAAAGATGCTTGGGGCGTTGACAACTTCATTTGCCTGGACTAAACCGAAATTTATTCAAGCTAATTTAGCGCATATGTGTGCGTATGTGTGTGTGTGTGTGTGTGTGTGTGTGTGTGTGTGTGTGTGTGTGTGTGTGTGTCTGCGTGGCCAAAAGCCCAATTCGTGTGCCATTTACTCGTATATTCCGACTACGTTCAGCCGTAGCGTTTATTAAGCGCACCAGCTGCGCCCGAGGCGACTCCCAATTGCCGCTCATAAATAAAACGCCGGTCAGTGATTTCGACTGCCCTTAGCTTGTTAGGGTAATATACTTCGAACGTCTGCTTTATGCAAACGGCCAACGTCTGCTAACTGTATTTGAATTCAAATTTAGAGAGAGCGAGATGATGCTCTAATTGAATATCCTGCATTGTCTATGCTAAACGTATGTATTGCATACGTATAGGTATTTGAAATTCTATTCCAGCTTCTTCATTAAGGCAGATTTGGTTGAAACTATTAAATCATTATTAGTTGCATAGTATAATAATATATTTCGAAATGTATTTTATTTATTTTTTTAAATTATGGCTGAAACCTTAAAATTATTATTAGGTAATCCAATAAATTGATATAATTATTGAAATTTATTTTTTAAAGGCATATAAATGGAAAATATTTTAAATTACTGTTAATTATTGGATGATTGGATAATAAACTGATTTGAATATATTTTGCGGAAGCTTTGAAATCATTTTCTCTTTTTAGACAAAATAATAAACTGATACATTTATTAAAGTGTATTTTTAAATTTTATATTGATGACTTTATCATTATTTCATTGAGAGCAAATGCATTGAAAATATTCAATTAAAGAATTTGGATTTAAATGTATATATAAGAGTTAAATGTATATATAAGAGTTATATTTTTTTTATTGATATTCTGATCATAAAGAAAAAAGAAAATTACTTCATTGTTAACAAGTTATTATAAATGTTATATTTATTTATTTTTTTATTTAGAGCAAATGCATTGAAAATATTCAATTAAAGAATTTGGATTTAAATGTATATATAAGAGTTAAATGTATATATAAGAGTTATATTTTTTTTATT